CTCTGCCTACACTTGCTCCACCTTAAATTCTTTTTAATGAGATCATTTATCTCCTCAAATGGATTATAAATTCCTTGAGAAGAGAAATTGATGTCCCACCTCCCAAGGCGCTCATTAAGAACGTTGAATGAATGGGGGCAACTGGATGGCTCGGTTGAGTGTCCAACTTTGGCTCAGGTCATGATCTCACGGTCCATGAGTTTGAGCCCCGTGTAGGGCTCTGTGCTGACAGCTCAGAGCCTAGCTCAGAGCCTGGAGCCTGCTTCAGATTCTGTGTCTCCCTCTCTCTCTGCCACTCCCACACTCATGCTCTGTCTCTGTCAAAAATAAACATTAAAAAAATTTTTTTAAATGTTGAATGAACAAATAAATGAAGGATGAATGAATAATTTGGGGGAGTATAAGAGATGGTGCTACCAATTTAATACCAATATCTTTGGAAACCAAATAGGGGGGACTATTTTGTGCTTTATACCCAGCCAGCTCACTAGCTGAACTCCTAGTGATGCCTTGGGCTTTAATCAGGAATTTAATTAGCCCTGGCACTTGATTCTGGAAGAAATGGAGAACAACAATGAGCACAAGTAGGAGAGAACTAGATTGTTACCAGCCTGACATATGGTGCCATGTATCATCCACTGGCTTTCATTTAGGTCTGGACTAAGTCCTAGGTAACTCTACTTCCAAATGTTAGAAGTGCTTATTTTCTTTCTAGATTCCAGATGATTAAGACCTTTTATTGGCTGTCTGAAACCAAAAGCATGAGGTCCTTTGAATGATTAGGGGTATATACAAAATAGTTGCCGATATAGCAGGTATAGGTAACACAGTTCAAAACACTGGGCTTGATTCCTGACATTTTCCACCAATTAGCTGTATGGCAATGCACAAGCCAGTTGATATTTCCAGGTAGAAAAGTCTCTGAATCAACACAGTGCAGTAAACAACTATTTAAATGAATAACACTGTGATGTACCATGAAGCTAAAGAACCTCAAACTTTAAGGCCCTTTATTGCACTGGCCTCTTTCCAAGGCCCTGTGCCTTTTATCAGATGGTATTATTACCCTAAACCTGGGTCTCCTGTTAAGGTTCCTTCCAGGTTCAAAATTCTGTTTCTGGCGAATGGCCTTGAAGAGGGGCATTTTCTACTATACAACTTACCCAGTTTTATAACTTGCTGTTTTTGAATTTTCAAGGCCAATGCTGTGTCTAGGTACATTGCTCCTAGATACTTAGTACAATTTTGGACCGTTCTGATAAAGAAAAAAAAAACTCTAAGTGAAAGTCTAGATCTGTGAGATTTACCAGTACAATGTTTGAACTTGAGCCACATTCTATGTTTTCTTGTAGCTGAGAATTCTACCAGAAAAATTCTTTTACTGTAAGGTCCATGTCATGTTCCAATTAGTTTTGCTCAGGTTCCATTTCTTGTTGTTCCAGAGTCCCAACATTTGACTTAAATATTGCAGAGGCACTTCCTTCATTTTCCTAGAGGAGTTTTGGCCTCTTGGAAGCCATGGCTGGGAGGTGCTGGGGAAACCATGAATTGAGCTGACAGTGTTCAGTAAAACAGGTCTTTACTGTGTAGCAACCTGATTTAGGCACCTACAGTAATCGAACTGGGAAATTTGGGGGGGTTCTTAGGAAGTCTCTTCATTATTTGCCAGGTAAGTATGAGGCACAAGCCCCAAGGTTTAGTGTCATACTGCTAGCCCAAGAGGATAGAACAGAGAAGGCTGATGGTGGAGGAGGTGAATATCTGCAGGCTGAAAGTCCTTAGAATGAAACCTTTCTTCACAGTCTTCTGAGTCTTCACAACTTCTTGCCCTCCCTACAATACGCACCACGAGGTACCTGTCCTCAACTGCTTTCCACAGCCACTATAAGGGCCTTGTCCTAGAACAACCTGGTTTGGGCACTCACCCCAATCAAACTGAGAGTTTATCTGGGCTCAGGAATTCTCTTAATAACTTCATTTTTCTTGTTACTGGCATTTTATTACTTTTTTTGTGGAAAGGGGATCAAGAACTCTTTTCTGTTTATTCTTCTTGATTTTCATAAAAAAATGGTTATAACTCCACTTCTGACTTCAATTTGTGTCAAATACAAGCTGCAGCATTCTGTTATTGTTTTGTCTCTAACCCTATTTTCCCAATATGTAATCACTTTCTCCTCAGAATTATGACCCACTAGGATCCCTACTGTTGACAGTAACAACTCCGGATCAGTGGACCACTTAAATGGATTTCCTGTTAACATTTACTCTGCATGTCTGAAATTTGCATTACTATTTATGCTTTTTTTCATTTAATTTACATCTATTTGTTAGTTGAATTTAGATTGGTGTTTGGTTTTGAACCAGCTTTGAATTTGTCTTTTTATTTTTGGTCATAATTATCTTTTAGTTTATATTATTTTCCTGTTTCTCAACCATCCATGAACTGGATTAGAACTATGCTCTAGGGGTGCCTGAGTGGCTCAGTCTGCTGAGTGACCAACTCTTGATTTTGGCTTGGGTCATTATCTCATAATTGTGGGATCAAGCCCCACATCGGGCTCTGAGGTGAGTGTGGAGTCAGCTTGAGAGAGAGCGTGGGCTCTCTCTCTCTCAAATAAAAAACAAAAAGAACTGTGTTCTAACCCAGCTCTGATCAGTGTGTGACCTTGTCTTCCAGCATGCATTACTTGATTTGATCGTACTAGGTCTTAATAAACATGGTTTTTACTCACTTATTTCTATGTTAGCATTTTTGGACCAATTCCCAAACTTACTTGGGAATACTTTGTTATCATATGAGCCTAATGGTAATTAGGAATAGCCAGAATAATTCCCCAAAAGTTACGACTTTATAAATATTAATCTTTGGAAATGAGAAACGTCTGCATTTAAATAAAGGAGAGTATCCACTCTGTTAGGGGCTGGTGGACTGTCCTCTGACTGAGAGGAGTATGTAAGGATAGCCCCATTCCATGTGCTGCCTGATTTTAAAATAGCACCAAGCCTATCATTGTGCTGCCCAGTCTTCAAGGGGTCTGAGAGATGCTGTGAATAGTGTCAGGAGGGACACGTTGTTGTGTAGGTTAAAAAAAAAAAAAAAAAGCACGGTCTTTAGGTCTCCTGATTTTGTCCACAACTTAGATCCTCCTCTTTCCCACCCTGCCTGCCAGTCTTCTGTTGTCCTGTTGCAGAGCATGTCAAAAACCCTGCGGTTTCAGAGATTTGGAGTCTTTTCTTTTGGATTAAGAGGTGGAGAGGAGATGCAGCATGGGGAAGGCTGGAAGGGAACACGCTAGCATCTTTCTCTCCTTCACTCTTCTCCCAGGGTTTCTGAGTAGTGGAACTAAGAAGGAGATGACTTAGAGGGGTGTTCCAGACACACCTGCGGGTGGCGGGTGGAGGCATGGGAGGGCTATGCTGTGCTGTACAGTTTGCAAGCACTTTAATGTTATTTCATGAGGATAGGTCAGTGGCTCCAGAGCCATTTTATAGTCATAGAAAATCGGATTTCAGGGTGGTTAAATAAATTTCCCAAGAGCACACATTTGTAAAAGAAAGGGTGGAGCCACACCAAAATCCAAAAATCTGGTGTTGGAAAGCTCCCATGCTACAAAATATCCTCTCTTGGTTCATCTTTGACACCTCAACTTCTACTTCTTTAGGAACTTGATGGATTTTTTTTCTCCTATAGGACATCTGCATTTTAATTCCTTACGAAGCCATTATGTCTCAGTGTGAATTAGCCAGTTGGCTCCTTCCCACCCAAAAGCAGCTTCCCAAAGAAGGACTTTTTTAGCAAGCAGGGAAGGAGAGGGCTGGAGAGGGCCAGGCATGGTGTGCACTTATAGGCCACCCAAGAGCCCAGACTCTTGTGGTGGTGATGGCACAGTGTTAGGGGTGTGGAGAGAGCTCCAGAGAAGGTGGCCTAGGAGACCACTGGAAGAGAAAGCAGAAAAAGGGCAGAAGGTCAACTTCATTCTTTATACTGGGCCAGCTAAGGCCTGTCCAGAACCCTTGTGGTTCCAGCAGTCATTTGGTATAAAAGAAAATACTGAATTCCTTTGAGCCATTATTGAGGCTTGAAAGTTTGGAACCTCTGTGTTAGTAGCACTCTGGGAACAGTTCAGCCAGAAGTGGGATATGTTCCCTGCAGACCTATAATTCTAGGAACTGCATTGTTTCCTAATTGGATCACTAGTTCTGAACTCATGGTACTATAAAAGGGGCCCTTTTTAGCAGAAGAGAAACTCAGAGGTCCTACAATCAGCAACTGACACCCACAGGAGTAGGGACTTGCCCAAGGCCACACAGTACATTCACTTCATCCAAAGTTGTTGCAATCAAGTGCACTTGAAAAACCCTAATGGGAGAGGTTGGGGAGGGAAGGTGGAAAACATTTTGTCAAGCATTAGATCATGACAAGTTCTTCTCAGAAGATTCTCTATACTTCCAGAAGTTTAAAAATGTGATGACTGAAGGGGGGGGGGGCTAGTGTATATTTTTAAGCATTTTGGTAGTATTACTGACATTTGAGGATTTCCACTTGGCTTTTACTGTTTGGATGGTTAACAGCAGCAGCAACAAACTCTTATATAAAACTTATTTCTAAATGCCAAAAGCAGTTTCTCTAAATACAGTATACAAAAAGAGGCATTTGCATGAAGTAGCTATTAATTTCCCTTTGTGCTACCCGATCAGGTAAGGGCCACACAGTTAAGAGAAAGCCCCTGCTTGTTCCCTGCTCATTCAGCAGCAGATCAGGGAAGAGCACTGGGCTTGGCAATCAGGTCTCCTTCCTCTGAAGAGGTCAGAGCCCTCAAAACTCACTCATGAGTCCCCCACAGTGAGTCAGGAAGGTGCTCACAGGGCTCCACTCAGTCTACTTCACGTGCAGGAAGCAGACCCTTCACCTGCACATCCCAGCTCTGGCCTGTGGTGGCCAGAACAGAGCTACCTACTGGTCCACATTCCTGTCTCTCACACAAAAGGAGTTTGCTCCCTGACAGTTGCTGCTCTCAGGAATTTTATTCATCAGGTTTTTTTCTAAATAGCACTTCTTTCCATTTAGTTCATAGTGTATTGATGGGGTTCTCTCCCTTTGGCTCCTCCATGAGGGCCTAGGCCTCCCCCTTTCCAGGACAGAGTCCGGCCTGTCTGCATAATTCTTCATGGGCCTTGAGTCCCTGTTGTTATCCGTGTGCTCTGCCTACATCTGCTTAGTTCAGTAGACGTTCATTGAGGATTGACTCTGGAATGCGTCTGCAGCACATGGCAATGGAAACATCTGCTCTCTTGACATTGTGGAGCCTAGAGGCCAGGGAGGGAGACAGTTTTGGGGACAGGAAGGGATAGAGCTGAAAGAAACCTCAAGAGTGGGATTGAGGAAAGAGGGGAGATGATGTAGATTCCATGTCTCCCCAAACTGAGGTATTTTTAGGGTTTGTTGGGGCCACAGAGAGCTTCAAGAATTTCTAGTGTTCCCAAGTGGAGCATCTAGGAATCTCCCTCTTTCCTTATTAGTCACCTGACACCTGAACACATACTATTTTATGTTCAACTGTTGCTTACTGTGTCTCTGAGTTTCTGCCTTGGCCAGATGACACGCCTTCTCAAGACAGTGCCAATTGAATCCCATATGCTTTCTCCGGGGCTGAGGTGGAAACAGGTGCTCCACAGGTACTTGGCTAACACACTTGTGTTGGGGAAAGTCAAGCAGCTGGGGCTGGGAGTAGGGTTCATGGACAGTACAGGCCTCAGGGTCTTGGCTGCCTTCCCTTGGTCTCTCCCTTTTGTGTGGCTCTGGAGAACTAATTTGCTGCCATGCTTAAGGACAACACCTAAATGTGCTCTTTGTATGACATAGCCATGAGCAGGGATGGTGCCATGGAGTATGCCTTCTCCCAAAGAGGAAAGAGCATCAGACAGGGAGACCCAGGTGTGGACCTCAGGTCCACCATGCTTACTCACTTGACTCTCTACATCTGTAAAAGGGGAAAATGACATCTCCCAGTGTTGTGAAGATTAAAAGTCAATGTATGTGATAAAATGGCTAATGTATGAGTGTTGCTTCATGACCTGTAAGGGATTTCCCGTCCATGATCTCATTTGAACTTCATGGTAGAGCAAATATTGCTATTGTTTGTATTTTACAGATGAAAAGCCTGAGGTTCAGAGTGTGTAAATGACTTAGTAGAGATCACACAACTATTAAGAGGTAGAGCTGGACTTTGGCCACCATCTGTTACTATGTTAAAGGACAGCTGGCATATGTACTATGTTATACAGGGTTTCAAGGTCCTTTCATGTCCACCAACTGCTTATGCTTCCTGGGGGGCCATATAATGTGTTGCCATATATGAAACATCTAGGGCATAATTTTAATGAGAATGTTGCAGTCAAGGAAGCATGATTACCACATTGGTAATCATGTGGATCCAACCACTTAACTGGCCATCACTTTTGGGTGACAATAACAGATCATAAGGATTGTATAAGAACCAATGATAAGAATGTCTACAAGGTGTAATGACAAGCTCTGGTGATAGTTTGCCCACACTACAATGCATGAGCATGTTTGTAAGAATTGTGCCACTGAATCTGACAAAATCTGCTTATATCTTCAGAAAACTTTGTTATGAACAAATTGAAATTACTCTTCCATATCTGATTTTAGATACTTTAAGTGGTGCATTTGAGAATAGGAACATTGATTATAGTATTTATAAGGAAATGGAAGAATGTTTTACTAATAACTATTAAAATCTGCTAGACTTAGGCTAAGCCTAATAAATCTAGTTAAAATAAGGGAAACACATTCTATCTTTGGCCTGATTAGGAAGAGGGTGTGGGGTGAGAGTCTTAGGCTGAGCTTGGCAAGGAAGAGTGTTTTGCCAACAGGAAGGGAGGTTATACAAGAATGGGGTGGACCGGTGATGACCCAGGGCAAAACCGGGCAAAGTACTTGGCCTCCTGTAGTTGAGCAGAGAATACAGAGGGGACAAGGATCCATCTGTCGCCTTCAGCTCTGCAGGCCACATCTTAGGGTGTTTCCTGTGAAAGTTCCAGAAAAAAACCAGTGTGGTCAGCTTAGGGGAATATGTGGTTTATGCTGGAACACTGGACATACCACATTACTGGAAAGATGCACACTGGATGACCAGCAAAATAAAACTCAACTTTCCAAATGTTGGCAATGATAGGAGATTCAGTTCTAATGACCAGTTGTCTATTGAATGGATGCCAGTACAAATCATAACAAATTCATTCTAACCATGACAGCCACAGGAAGGACACAAAGAATTCAGTGTCCCTTATTCCATGAAACAGCTCACTGGAATCTGTGAATTCTAGAACCCAGGATGGGAGGACTCTGGGATCCTTGTCACATGACCAACCAAGACAGAGAATCCTGGGAGGCCTGAGGCCACAAAGATCTTAGCATCTGTGGGTCCACCTCCCCAGGAAGTCCCTCACTCATGTGAGGGTCACATGTAGGGCATGGGTGATAAGATTCCTGGATAGGACTTTGACTCCCGATTGTAGGTGGGATGCGCAGAGCTGGGATCTGGCCCTGGTCAACCTATCAAACTCGGTAAGTCCTTGCTGTTTTGAGTAATAATAGGAGACTGTTGCATGCTTTGGCAGGGATTGAGAAGAAATTAGAATGTGGGGCTAAGAACACAGTTTTGGAGTTGAACAAATGTGGCTTTGTACTTCAACAGTGCCATCAACTGAGTGACTCTGGGTAGTAGTTTCATTTCTTAGAGCTTCAGTTTCTTCATCTTTGTTGTAAAATAGGAGTGGTATTATAATTTTCTTGGTAGACTACTGAAGGCAGTAACTTAGATAAATATATATAGAGTATCCAGCACTGTGCCTGACACATGGGTACTTACCACATAGCACAGCAGCACCCTGGCCACTGTAGCCTCCTCATGGGGTTGGCTAAGCAGGGATCCAAGGAAGAATCCTCTGACTTCAAGGTAGGTCTGGATCCTGGGGCACCTGTGTGGCTCAGTCGGTTAAGCATCCATCTCTTGACATGAACTCAGGTCATGATCTCATGGTTCGTGAGTTCAAGCCCCATACTGAGCTCTGCACTGACAGTGCGGAGCCTGCTTGGGATTCTCTATCTCTGCCTCTCTCTCTCTCAAAATAAATAAATAAACTTAAAAAAAAAAAAAGGTAGGTCTAGATCCTAAACCTCTAGCAACCCCTGAAGTTTCCTTCTAATGGTGTGGGGGTGTGAGAAGGGCACAGTCTAGTTCCCTGGCTGTGTCAAAGTGTAAAACCTCCGTTCCTACCATTTTTGCCCTAGACTTGCTCAAAGACACACAGAACTATGGTATGGCACTAGGCCAAGTGTCAGTAGAATTGCGATAGGCTCTGTGGCTTACTGGCTGGGTGACCTTGAACAAGTCCTGTAATCTGCCAAGGCTTGGGTTTCTTCATCCACAAATGGAAACAAGCTTATCTGCTCTGTTTTCCCATCAGAGGGTCAAGTGCAATGTCGTCAGCCTGGCATTCAAGATCCTTCCATCATATTCTCTGGCCTCATCTCATATAAATCCTCTTCATGTTGACACAGCCCTGCCAAGTCAAACCTTTCTTAGGATCTCCTTCACACAAGAATGAGCCTTCCTGCCCAACTCTTTGTGTATCTAAATCCTATCTACCTCTACATCCCCTGCAACATCTAGCACAGGGTTTTGCATAAAATGGATGATTATTTTATCAGTTAGGGTTAGGTGACAGGTTAGGGTTACATGTGACAGGAAAACTAAAATGACAGTAGCTTAAATAAGACAGAAATTATTTATCTTTTATGGCAAAGAGGTCCAGCAGAAAATACCGAGGGCTGGGATGGTGGTTCCAGGTGTCAGGGACCCAACTCCTTCTGTCTTGTTGTTCCACCATTCTTAGCATATCACCTCATGGTCCACTATGGCTGTCAAATTCCAGACATCTTATTCTCATTCAGCCAACAGAAAGGAGAGGAAAAAGGCAAAGTGCATATTGTCCCCCTTTGGAGAAGCTTTACATAGATGCTACACATGACATTTCTGCTCATATCTTATCAGCTAGAACTTAGTCACATGATCATCTTAGCTGCAAGGGAAGCTGGGGAATATAGTTTTAAACTGGGCATATTGCCATGTCTGTTTTTTTTTTTTTTAGGTTTATTTATCTATTTTGAGAGAGAGTGCAAGCAGGGGAGGGGGCAGAGAGAGGGTGAGAGAATCCCAAGCAGGCTCCATGCCATCAGAGCAGAGTCCAAAGTGGGGCTCAAACCCACGAATCATGAGATCATGACTTGAGCCAAAATCAAGAGTCAGATGCTTAACAACTGAGCCACCCATGTGTCCCTGGGCATATTTCCATTTCTAATAAAATTGGTAGGGAAGGGGGGGGGGGGGTGGATATTGATATACCCGTATTGTTGCCTCTGCCACAGTTATTAAAAAAATTAAAAATATGAAAACTCAGTACCAAGTTTAAAGCCCCTTATAACGTATAAGATTATGATCACAAAAACACTTACCTCATTTGTAATGATATGGGTATCCTGATATTTAGATTGGAAACAGCCAAATTCTTCTTCACCTCTGGTGCGAATGTGGTGACATGTTTATTAATAGAAGGATAACTCAGAGCTGTGAATGAGGATAAATTATGAGTCCGTCCCTTTACTGCATTTTACCAATGAGGAAACCGAACTCCAGAGGCTAAGTGATTTGCCTATGGGCATGGAGTCGATGAAGGAGCCAGGACGAGAATTTGAGTTTCTAGATTCCATCAAGGCTTTTCACAGCTCCTCCCTGATGAGTGGCCCATTCAACTTCTGAAGGCCTTGAATTCTGTGGATCTCCCTGCTCATCCAGAACCCCTGGGAGCAGATCTCGGTCACTATGTTGTCAGCTGCATCCCTGCTAGCATGCAGTTCAAAAACCTTCAGTCTGGAAAAAGGGAAATACCAAGAAATAGAACATTCTATTTAAGCAATGAGGGCTTTTTTCTAAAAGCAAATGATTACCTCCTTCTCTTTGCACCTAGAATACACAGGGCCCTGAATCAGGCACTGAAGGGAGATATAAAAAAGCATATAAAATGGTTATTGCCCTTGGTGTATAGATTCATTCTCCTTTCCATTCATTTATTAAAAAATGATTTGAGCATCTAGGAGAGGTACACACTGGGCCCCACACTGGGTATGCCAAAATAAACTGCAGATATAGTTTTTGTTCTGAAATTGCTTATAGCCTACTGGGAGACAGAGATCAGTAAACAGGCAACTATAAAATAGAATTAAAAATAAGAATGGGCAGAGGGTTGGCTCAGTCAGTGGAACGTACCACTTGATGTTGGGGTTGTAAGTTTGAGCCCCACATTGGGTGTAAAGATTACTTAATAAAATCTTTAAAATAAAAAGTATGGTGATGGGGAGGAGACAAGGTACTCTGAGTAGGTCACCTAGACTTGTGTGTTTGAGGGCTCAGGGGTCAAGGCTTACTGGATGAGATAATACTGACTGGAGACCTGAAGACTGAATATGTGTAGGCAAAGCAAGTGCTGTGTGAGAAGCATGGTAGGTGGGCAGGAAGAGGATTCCAGATAGAATGTCCAGGAGAGTGGGTGTGTCCAGGACTGTGAGGTGCTGAGAAGGATTTATCATGACCAGAACATGGCAGGCCTCAGTGATAATGGTGGAAGGCATTGGTAGGGAGAGCAGAATAAGAAATGTGACAGAAAAGGTGAGCAGGGACCAGTCAATGAAGGCCTTTGAAAGGTCTGTTGGAAAGTTCATATTTTATTTTGAGGCCAGAGGGATAAAGGGTTTGAGGCAGGTTTGTATTTTTTGTATTTGCAACAGTCCTCTGGCCTCAGGGTAGAGAATGAATTGGAAGGGTTGGTCCAGATGCAGGAGACTTTGGAGGCTGTTGCAGTAATGGTGGCCTGAACCAGAGAATGACCTTGAAGGGTGAAGAGAAGTTGATGGATTTAAGATAGTTTTGAGAGATACAACCAACAGGTTTTGGTGACTAGCTGGAAGAAAGAAATGAGAAAGATGGGGGAAACAAACATTCATGAAGGAAAAATTAAAGTAACAGATGCTAACAAAGCCAAGAATAAGAGTTATCCAAAAGGAAAATGGGGATATGACTGTGTGTTTTGAGGAAGGGATAATTGTTGTGAGCTAGAAAGATTTTGGAGGGCTTTCTGGAAGAGTTGAGATTGGCATTGGGCCTTGTATATGGGTAGGATTTTGGTGAGTGGAGAGGACATTCCAGGCTGAACTATGATGTAAGATTATTGAGACAGAACAGTGTGTGATTTTTAGCAGATGGTTTGGTCATGGTTGTTTTTTTGTTGTTGTTTTTTGTTTGTTTGTTTGGTTAGGGGGAGAGATACAGAGACCTGGTTCTCTAGGGGGATGCAACTAAAACTTGAAGGGAAGGACTGAAGAGATGAATCCCATTACTCTCCCAGAGTGGTTTAGAGCTCTTTGTGTATCCCCAAAGCCATTTGTGTTGGAACCTCAAGAGGTCTGTGGACCACTAGATAGTCCATCATGACCAAACCCCCACAGATCCCAGTTTCCACCATAAGAAAAAAAAAGTCTTCCTTCCCCAAAGGGATTACTGTTATGTTTGTGAGTCTTCTGCAGTGACCTAGGTCCTCATGTTGAGAGCTACCATGCTAGGGTATTGTTTTCCTATCTCTAGGCCTCTCCAGAGCCCAGCCTGGCAGCTTGCATTGTAAGGCCTGTGAAACCACCAGGGAGACTGCTTTAACCCAAGGCTGTGGAAAATACAGCTGTGTAACTGGGTGTGTGGAGTAGACCCTCTGGTCCTGGGGTGTGAACTCTTGCCAGGCACCATGCCCTGCCTGAGCACCCTGCACCACACCTCTGGTTACTGACCCTAGCCTACATGCTAATGGCATCTTGGTCCCACCTTCTCTGGCCCAAAACCCACTCGTGTCTTCTGCTTTGGCCCAGCCTCCAGGCTCTGACATAGGCTCTGGTCTAAGGACTGCTACAAATATTCCCAGGGAACCCTTTCTAGGGGCACTGGCCCTAGGTAAGGTGAATACTGATAACTTCTAATTGGCCAGTACTACCACTTAAGGACCCACAGTGTCCTAGTGCTGCACTGGCCTCTAGTACATCATTTCTCACAGTCACAACCCTCTTACAAAGCACATAGTATCCCAATTTTACCAAAGAAGAAATTGAAGGATATTAAGACTGTCCAAGCCCACCCAGTCTACCTGTCCTCTGTCCTAAATATCCTGTAGGTGAGTTGGGGAACTCCAGGAGATAACTGTGGCAGACATTACATTTTATCCTCACAAGGACCTTATCAAGAGAAGTACTATTCCCCTTTTATAAATGAGATGCAGAGAGGTTAAGTACTTATCCCAGGGTCACATAGCTAGGAATTGGTAGAAGCAGGATCCAAGCCTAAGTCTGCCACCAAACCCTCCTCTCTCTACCTCTCCAGGTACCTAAAACAGGTGAGGGTTCAACCTCTTTTCCTGAATCAAGGTTCCAATGTCCACGTAGGAAAGCACAGTGATTCAGAAAAGTAATTTCAGTAAGGTCATGTACCTTAGTTCCAACACACTCTTCTGTGATCCTTTTATAGATGGGAAAACAGAAGCCCAGAGATGTGCAAGGGCTTCACACCATGCTATCACTGTATTTTCTCAGTCCCTTCTGCCCATTCCATGGAACATTGACACAGCTCCTGGGATTTGAGCCCATTGCCCCAGCTTGGGTGGTACCTACCCCCCACCTCATCCTCCCCACCACCCAGTCTCCTGTTCAAAGGCCCAGACGACTCAGCTTTGTTTCAGGTTGAATGAGTCATTAAGGGTAAAACAAAGAAAAGAATGCCTATTTCCTTGCTAGATGAAATAAACCCACCCACCTTTTGACATCTTTTTGTTCTGAAATGATGATGGTATGCAATGACTCAGAATTAGCATACTCAAAGAGACTTTTCTTGAAAATGAAGGGACAATGTGTGAATAAATGAGCTGAAATTGGCTCACGAAGGGAGGGAAGGATGACCTCCGGCACATCAATGCAGAGCGGAGGCTGAATGAATGTGCAATAATGGGAGGGAATGTGCAATTCTTCAGGGGGTAGGAGAGCAGAGAGGAAGCCCATGTGAGGGCCAAGCAGCAAGCCCTTCAAGTCCCCTTAATGGTAAAATCTGAAGAAGCAACCACCAATTCCCAAGCCTACTTGACTCAACGCCAAGCACATTCACAAGCATCTAGAAGAGGGGGAAGAAAGACATTTTCAAAAGAGCTGGTGTCTAATACCAGAGAGCCTTTCCATGCCAAGCAGCCTGGCTAGTGGCAATGAGGGACTGGGAGAGGGACAATGTGTATTGAAGCCAACTCTTAACACCGTGTTCCTCTCCAGAGGAATGAACTGAGAGGATCTAATGTACTACAGCCTGCCCTTAAAATGTGGAGTAACTGGCCTCTTGCCCAGTAGTTGCAGGTCATAGCTTGGCAATGCCCAGATCCTCTGGTTCTTGGTGGTGGGAAAAGAGGACAGAATTGGAAGCCAGAAGAGTTGGCACTTTCTCAAGCTTAGTACTAGATGTACTGGGGTAAAACTCTCAACCTCTCTCAGACTGTTTCCTCTGAGGAAACAGGAGGTGACTGCTACAACCTGCATCAGGAGTTGGTGGTTGGGAGGAGGAAATGTGATAATGCAGGAAAGAGAACTGCTCTGTCAACTGTAAGATGCTATTCAAGTGGTTGTTATTATTGTGTTTACAGACATAGATTTAACATATTCTGACAGACCTGACATCAAACTAGGAATCTGAGGCCATGGGTGCATTCCATTCCATTCCTTAGCCTCTGAAAAAACATGAGATTAGAAATGCATTTATTGGGAGTGAAAGTTTTCAGCAGAGCTTCCTTTCCTTTGCAATGAATTCCAGGCCTCCCATGATGCTCAAAGAACTCTGCAGGAAGCTGCTGGGGAAGGCTAAACTCCATTCTGGTTGCTATAAAACTTCATTTTGGGTTCTGTTCTGGGGGCTTCTCCATTTCAGTTACCTGCACCATTACAAAGGGTGGAAAGACTCTTGACAGGAAAGTGGTTTCTTGTTTCATAGCATTAGCTTTTCATAAATAATGTTATCAGTTTTAACAGAAAAAGGCCACAGAAGAGCTGATTATGGGGTAATTATTTTAGAACAGGAAGGAAATTAGAAACTCGTAGTAAAACCCTGAGATTTTCTAGATGAGGAACTGCAGCCCATGTAGGGTAATTGGTTTTCCCTGGGTCTCACACTTGAATCAGTGAGCTGGGATTAATCCCTAGGAGTCCAGCTCCTATTCATGTGACCCTTCCCTGACACCAAGGTGGAAAATTCAGATGTCTTCAGGGTCTAAGAAGGAGGGTATTGGTGGGTAAGGCCATAGGGAATGGTGGATGTTCAGTTCAGTTTTCTTTCAGTTTACCCTGTTTGGGGTTTGCTGAGCTGTTTGAATCTGTAAACATATCTTTCACCAAATTTGGGAAATCTTTAGCCATTATTTTTTTCAACTATTTTCTTCTATATCAATCTTTCTCTGTTCCCTTAAGAACTACAATGACATGAATGTTAGACTGATATTCCACAGATCCCACAGGCTCTATTCACTATTTTTCAAACATTTTTCTCTGTGTTCTTCAGATTAGATAACTCCTATGGATCTCTCTTCCAGTCTACTGGCTCTTCCCTCTGTCATTTGCATCCTGCTATTGAGCCCATCCAGGGAATTTTTTAATTTCAGATATTGTATATCTCAGTTATAAAATTTCCATTTCAAAAAAGTTTCTATTTCTCTACTGTTAACTAATTTTTATTCATTTCAAGAGTTAAGGTAAACACCTTAACATCATAAAGAATGATTGTAACAAATTGCTTCAAAATCTTTTTTTCTTGTAATTTCAACATTGTCTTTCATCTTTTCCCTTGAGAATTGCTCACCTTTTCCTAGTTCTTATCACATTGAGTAATTTTGGATTGTATCTTAAGATATTTTATATGGGATGTTATATAACTCTGGGTCCCGTTAAAATCAGAGCAAGTTGATTTTTTGTTTTGGTTCATCATTCAAGCAAACCAGTTAAGTGAAGACTGCAAGTTCTGTCTCACCTTCTGTATGCAGAGGTTCTGCTGTCACCTCAGGTTCCAAAGCCTCTGCTGTGTGTCTGGGTATGTTCCACACATGTGTAGCTCGGAGGGAAAGTCCAGGACTTACGTCGGTTCATACATGGAATCCCTTCCTTCCTCTCTTTCTTCTTCCGGATTTCCCTCACATCCATCAGCTTAACAGGGTCACCTATTATCTTTCTGGCTAGAAAGATAGAGCTCTTTCTCAGAGTTATAGCCACTAATGACATCACAAAGTTTTATTCTACTAGGCCTTTCCTCTGGATAAAGTGGCAAGAGAAAAGAGAAAAAAAACAAGGACTCCTCTCATACTCTTCATATAACAGAGGCCCTCTTCTACATTCTTCTGTCCTGAGATAACAAGATTTTCCTCTCGGGGATTTTAGGTGCCCAAGCTGCTGCCATGGTGATGACAGTGTGGTTTGGAAGCTGCATCTGGCCTTGAGACTGAACTGAGAGAGAAAATATATGAGGACAAGAACAAGAAGAATCTTTCCCACACACTCTGGCTTGCAAGGGCCCCTTTTCCAGGTCATTAGTCCAGAAAGATTGGCTGTTTCATATGGTTGTTGTGGTCTATGACCACTGTGCAGTTTCATGAGTCACCTCACCCTCAGATCAAAGCCAGGAGAAAAATTCTATGAAACTCACTGTCACCATATTGGTCATGTAATGAGTTATTTCTTTCACCAATCCACCTACTTTTACTTATTTTTCAGAGTCCTCAATTAATTGCTGTGTGTGTGTGTGTGTGTGTGTGTGTGTGTGTGTGTGTGTGTATTTTGTTCACAGTGTTTAGTTGTAATCAGTTTTCCTCCTCCATTTGGTCAGACCTGAAAGTCTAGCAACACACCTGGAATCCATCTCTTTTGGTTGGTACTCCCCCCCACCCCCACCCCAGGGCTTACTGGCAGAGGGCCACTGATGGAAACTGTTATATTTAAGAATCTTATATTCCCTGGTCTGAAGGTGTCAGGTCCCAGGAGTCAATGGCTCCAAGTTTTCCACCTTGTTTGGGTTGATACTTGATATTGATGTTCACTCAACAAAGGTGTATGGAATGTCCCTATGTGCTATCTTTTGGGGCTACAAAAATGGTCCTCAACCTTAATGAGCTTGCAATTCAGTGAAATAATAGGAATTTGGATTAGAAATTTAGGATCCAAGCTCAAAATCTTTCTCAAGGTCTTTTGCATGCCCTCAGAACCACAACACATCATTAGAGAGCATTTTACAGCCTGATTCTGGGGCTTTCCCTTTCTAGAAGACATCTTTGATAGTCTTTTTCTTTTGAGGGGAAACAGCAAACCACTTTTATAGAACAGTATATAAAGTGCTACTTTTAGTTTTGTGAACTCTACAAAAATGGCAAGATGACTCTGTATTATGGTCTTCTTGTCTACTAAACATAGTCTTAAGAGAATATGGTCTGGTTTGGGGCTCCAGAACTCAAAAGGGAAATGAAGACATTGGAGAGTATCCAGAGTAGCACTTGAAGTAGAAAAAGGATGAAATCTGATATTAAAAAAAAGAAAAGAGTGGGAGAAGCTGAGGCAATTTGCCAAGGGGTTAATTCTTCATAAGGAAGATTACTTCCCCAGCCCATCTCTACTGTCTCTTCTCTTTGAAAGCACTTACCTTCTCTTTCTACATCAAAGTAATGCCAGTGGGTTGAATCTGCGAAGGGAGATAAATATCAGGAGAAAGAATAGGAGTCAGCCATTTAGCTAGCACAAGTAGATGTTATGCATCAGCAAGAGTGTTCTGTGCATCAGTTATCTCACCATCCTCATGACAGTCCAGCAAGCCTTTGTGATTAGTTTTGTGATTCCTATATGGCAGACAGGGAAACAGACTCAAAGGGTGATGTGATTTTTCTCAGGGTCCTAAAAAGGGAAACATAGACTAGAACCTAGGTATCTTGAGTTCAGGTTCTGTTTTCTTCACTCCATCAGCCTCTAAAACGTTGGGGTCTGAATGGTTTCCCTTCTCACACTACTAGAGCCACAGTGGTTTTCTATGTAACATGTGGGTCATTCTGAGGAGTTTGGGGAAGAGATACTACTACCAGTGGTGGGATCTGGAGGCTCCCAAGAGAGAAAGAAGTTCACTGGGAAGCCAGGCCCCAGGTCCTCCAGACCTGTATGTCCTTGGAGCATAATTCAAGCAAGTGCTTATCGTCCTCTCTCAAAAATAAAAAATTCAGAAACTCACCATGAGACAAAGGAAAGAAAGGTGAAGTAAGAGTGAGATCATTTTCCACGACCTCTTCTGACCAGGAAGGTGACTTGGGGATGGAGGAGGGAATGCTTTGTGGGGATTAGTAGCAGCAGAGTGGTGGAGTCATCCCTAATTCCCACTGGGCCTCAGTGCTGGCCTTGGCTGAGGAGAGCTGAGAGTGTTGAGCTGGTAGGGCTCTCTCCTTCCTAAGGGGTCAGTGCTTGTTGCATTCCAGAACACACAGGGCTTCTCCTTGTCAGTCTCCTTATGGCTCCTGTCTATCACCATCTCATCCCCTCTTTCTAATTTAATAGCAAGGAGAAAGGAAATGAACATTGATAGAGCCCTAAGTGTTCAGCATCATGCTAAACTTTACATTCATTAGTTTCTAGCAGAGGATTTGGTACACTGTAGGTGCTCAATAGATGTTGGTGCCCCCATCTCTTCCATCTCACTAGTCTCCAAATAGGAGGCAGTGAGTGTCTGCTCAGTTTTATGACGGTTGAAGAATGGAGGCAAAAACAATGTCAAAATGGCAAGGGTGAAAATGAGACTAGCATTTGGGCTAATCACGCTGGCTTCTCGGGGTTCTCCTCTTTTAAGGATAACTGTTTCTGTGAGGAAAGTGAGGTGATCCAGAAACTGGCAGCCTAGCAGAGGACTGAACAAAAAGATATGTAGAAGCCTAGGAAACTTAGGGCTTGAGCAGCACCCCTTGGCACCTGAAGAGCATCTTTAAAAGTTGGCTCCCACTTGTCCCAAAGCAAGCAGACTTTTACACCATTATAATACTCTGTTCCAGGTGTGACCCATTTTTAATCTCTGAAGTTATCAATCAGTCATGAGCTAATTCTCTAAAAATGTCACTGTAAGTCCACATACAATTATATTTCTCTGCAAAGAGAAAGGAAGGTTGCCTGAGACCACTGGTCCCCACTAAACAAGCAGGGTCTTGGCCAAAATCTTTGAAAGTTTGTGACATCAATAAATTCCCTATTAAAGGATAATTCACATCCTTTAGATTTTTCTGTATATTATATTCTGAATGCCATCTTCTCCTCTCCTTTCCCCCTGCCCTGGCTGGGTCCTTATCACTTTTGCCATAAACTCCCAGTGGGCTCCCTGCCTCCAATCCAAACACAACTGACCATGGATCTTCATGAAACATTTGCTTTTGTTGGATCCAAAAAGACTTCAGTGGCTTTCGATTGCATATAGGAAAAGCCTAGATTCAGTAATATTTTCCAAACATCTCCCCTACTTCCTCTGACATGAATCCTACCTTCAGCCCAACTGAATTACTTATTGCTACACAAATATGCCTAGACTCTTCCAACTTTCCCAACTTTTTCCTGCCCTATGCCAGCACATTCCTCCACCCTCCCACCCCCGCTTCTCAGTCCTCACCACCAATGGGAGATCACTCCTCCTTTAAAGATGGGCTGGTCACCTGAACACAAGACAGCTCCTCTGCAATTATACCTTTGATTATCTGGACTCCTTGTGCCACATATAATCATCCTGTATTGTTAATTGCCTTTATATGTCTATAATTTGCTTCCACCTGTGGATATGACAGCACTGTGCCATATTCTTCTCACAGAAGAGGCATTTGATATTCTATTACACACTTTACAAGAGCTATAAAGATGATTTTGTCATTAAAATGTTTTATTATTTTCAGTGAACATCTGGGGCATTGAGATGGTAGAAGAAAAGGAGATGGAAGGATTTCTTTTCTAAAGCTATTTGTCCTTCCTATGTACATTATATAACCTCTGATTATTTCCAGTGTTAAAGAAATAGTCCCTCTGGACCTTTTATAATGATTCAAACACTGAAATGATTCACCAATTCACAAGGAACTGGTGTGACCCATTTTTTTAAAAAAGAATAAAACGAGAGAAAAACCAAATATTGGCTCATTTGAGGAGAAAAATAAACTGGCTGCCCTTCTATTTTTTAAATATTTTTAAAGAACTGAAAATGCACCACAAAATGCAAGAGTTTGCTTTTGTACTTTTGGAATCAAGTAGCAACATGAAAGTAAACAACTAAATTTCAGGGAAGAAATTTGCCAAGTCTCATGGGACAAAAATAAAGTATTTACCTTTGAATGAAACACATTTTTGATGTCTCATCGGGGTATAAACATCATCTCTGGATTCTCTACTTTCCACCCATCTCTTGTCGGGCAGGGGAAGTCACAGAGCTGCAGCTGACATCACTCACCTGGGCATTCTTCTTGAGAAGGAAAGACTCAGGAGTTTAGTTTCTACCACGGGGACCCTTAGGAAGCAGGTAGGGCTTTTTTTTTTTTTTTTTTTTTTTTTTTTTGCCTGACTTTATACTTTAGCATCTCTCACTGACTGATGACCTGACCGGAATGTTTGCTCCCCAGATTCTCATAGGACTCTAGAGCTTACCTCCTCCTCTGTCTTCAACATTTACTCCCTCTTTACCCACTGAACGAGTTTTCTCTTGCTACATAACAAATTACCACAAACGTGGTGGCTTAAAACAACATAAATTTATTATCCCATGTAGGTCTGGCATAGGTATGGGATAGCTGCTCAAGGTCTCACCAGGATGGAATCAAGGTGTTGGCCAGGGCTGGAATGTTACTTGAGGCTTAGAGTTCTCTTCCAAGCTCACTGCTTGTTTAATTCACTTGCAGCTCCTAGAGGCCACATGTTGATCCCTGCCATGTGGTTCTCTCTACAGCATGGCAGATTGCTTCTTCAAGGCCAATAGGAAAGCCTCTCTTCTTCTTGGAATCACTCTGACTTCTGGGAAGGCCTGCACCCTTTTAAAGACTTCACCTGCTTATTTCAGGCCCAGGATAATCTCCCTTTTTAATTCACTCAAAGTCAACTGATTAGGGACCTTGATTATACCTACAAAACCCCTTTTACTATATAAAGTAACATAGTCACAGGTGTGAAATTAGATCTTCACAAATCCTTTTCACTCTCAGAGGGAGAGAATTCTGCAGGGGGTGGAGATTATCTTAGAATTCCACCCATTACATCTACCCCCTCAGGTTCTTGGTCCATTGGGTTCAGTCTTCCACTTAACAGTTTGCCAGAATAAGTCCCAGATAAATCACTTTGTCATTCCTGAGCCCTTCTCTTGATGTGGACTCCTGGCTCTCCTCTCTGGGTCTCTATCCCCAGATCCTCTGTCATTGCCCCCTCCCCAGTGTACCTGATGAATTAGTGCAAGTGTCTCCTCCTTTGTAACTCCCCCCCCCCACCGCCTTATTTATTCTCTGCCCTCCTCTGTCAAGCAGAATTAGCTCTCTGGGCTCCCTAACACCCTGTATGAGCCTTTGTGTCAGCAGTCATCTGTTTTACTATCACCTTAGCACAGCTGCCTCTCCTCTAGGCTCATGTCTCTTTAGGGAAAGGATCTGTCATGTCCATTTCTGTCATCTCAGAGCAAAGATGCAGTAAAAGGCACATGCTAGGGGTTCAATAAAAGTTGGATGAATGAATGGAAAGCCCAACAGCAGTCCAGCAGAAAGTATGTGGGGACAAAGGGAATGTTGTCAACTGGCTCAGAGCATGGAGGTGTGAAGAGAGCAGTGGAGGGCAGTGAGTAATACCTGGTGCTTCATGCGTGAAGCTCATAGATAGTGCCCAGCTTTGGTTTTGAGACATCTTAACCATATGACTATGTTCTCCATTTATCCCTGCTAGCTAAGTTTTTCTTTGACATATGACATAGGACATGCCCTTATAGTTCTTTTCTCAGGAATTTTCCAAAACCACATTTTCCTGTAATGCACTGAAGAGTTGATACTCATGAGTGATGTCCTACATTGAAAGGAAGAGAAGCAGTCACTTGGGAGTAGTAAACTGTTTTCAATTACAATCCTAAAGCTCACCTTACAGAGTTTATACTCATGTATCTTTTTAAAAAATAAATTTTAAAAACCTGAATATTATGCTGAGAATCTTCTCCTAAAAGAGACTCAGAGGCATTGCCATGTCACTGAGAATGTCATGGCTTATGAGGATTCTCTTACAAGACTTTCTATGAGTGAGAACTCCAATCACCTTCAATGTACTTTTCTTTCTTCAAAAAAGACAAATTTAACTATGGAAGTAGTACTTGGAAAATGTAAATAAAATAAGGATTCCCCATAAACTCACCACCCCCTGAAAGCCACGAAAGCCACTGTTAACATGATTTAGTTTGGAAAAATGTAGGGAGAGAGTTTTACTCCTGGAAAGGACTACTGTCTCTCTTCTACACTTCGCTGCAAACATCAGCCTAAGAGATGCTGGGTGGAGAAGAAGTACAAGTCATGTAAAGGTGACTTTATTTGGCAAAATTTATTTCCAGGCTAGCACCTAAAGGGAGATGAACAGAGAGAAATGGATGGTTTCCACAACACCCCCAAGACAAGGAATGCACTATGCAAATCCAGCACCAGGGAGAGCGCCAAGTGGGAGCTTCAACTCAACATTTATAGAGCCATCAATGTCTCCCAACCCAGAAAAACAGCAAAAATGTTAATTTTTTTATATCACTAAGTAAATACAATGTCAATACTTAACTTAAACAAAGTTGCCCTTATAGCACACTTAAGGTTTCTAATGACTTCTTCCTCCCCCATCTTATATTTTTTCTCCCTGGCCTTATATTTCTGGACTTTTCTGCTGCAATTGATGAGCTCAGAAGCACCAAAAACACTACCACCACTATCATCACCTCTCTCACCCCATCTTTTTCATTTGAACACCCCCTGCATCCTGCACTCTGCCCTTTCATTTGCACTTGCTGCTTTGCAGGATCCATGCACTCCCTGTGACCCTCGGCCCTATGTATTCACAGCCTGGGATCTTCAGGCTCCTAAGGGACATTTCTCGTTATTGACTTACCAACAAGTCGAAGTTGAATTCATCATCATGTCTCTCTTCAAATTGGCCTCTCTCTCCCCCTCTCACTGCTTCCTGCCATCTAACCAAATTCACTTGTTGGTTTCTTTTTAAAAATTTTTTAATGTTTATTTTCGAGAAAGAGAGAGGAGGAGGAGGAGAGAGAGAGACAGAGAGAGGGCACCAGCATAAGTGGGGGAGGGGCAGAGAGGGGGGGAGGACAGAGGATCTAAAGTGGGCTCTGTGCTGACAGCAACAAGCCCGATGTGGGGCTTGAACCTACAAACTGTGAGATCATGACCTGAGCAGAAGTCAGAGGCTTAACCAGCTGAGCCACCCAGGTGCCCCCACTTGTCAGTCTCTTAGGGAGGGCCCTCTCTTCAGTCATTGCCCATTCCCTATGCACTCAAGACCGCTGGTTTTCACCTCCTTATCTTTGCTCAGACTGTTTCCATCACCAAGAGGCAGAGGTTTCAAAATCTGCATTGACACTTCAGAAACTCTACCAAAATCCAACTATACTTGGTACCTCCAAGCACTCCATGTGTTTAGGGTGGGCTATGTGTCTACGTCATTTATGTTCTTATTAGTAATGACATTAATGATTACTACTTATGTAAGGGCTATTCTATGCCAGGACACACATCTTTTTTTAAAAAGGCATAGGTAGAAAGAGAACAAAAGTAGCTCAGAATACTAAGGGGCTATGATTGGAGGGGTGTCAAGAAATAGCCCCCCCCCAACCCCCCAAATTCCTTCCTTGCCCAGTCTGTCATGCCTAAATCCTCTAATAGGAGTACAATAATAGGAGTACATGTCATTGAGGAGTTAAAATCTTCACCCTTACCTCCTTCAGCACTCTCCCAACCCCTTCCCATCCCACCCCTCTGTTCAGTGCAAAGACTTATAGGAGCAGCAACATTCTAAGCTGTTAACAGCTAAAGCCTTCATAGAGGATTCTGTCCCACAGTGACAGCTGGCTGAAGACAGTGAAAGAGAGAGGTCCTTCAGGAATGGGTTGGGAGTGAGAATGGAAGGGGAAAGGAAAGAATCAGCTTTATAAGAGGTATATCCCAGATTTAGGCTCTACCCAGCCTACTGACAGAGTGTGTTTTACTGTGTTTAGAGCCTTGCCCTTCCTGAGCCATTCCTGCATGCCTTCAAGAGAGCCCACTGACTCAGCCCTGCAGAGGACCCAAAGATGAATCAGACATGGATCCTGCACTCGAGGAGCTTACTGTCTAGTGGTAGAAAGTGAAAAGTACCATAGCAAAGACAATTCAAGGGGCATGGGGCTTCAAAAGAGAGAAAGATACAGGCTGTACATCAAGGAAGGCCTGCCAAGGGAGGTCGCATTTGAGCTGGACTTAGGAAGGCGATGGGGAATTTTCCATAGGCAGAGATTGGAGGTGGTGCTAGTTATGGTGATGGACACCTTCAGTCCAACACTGTGATCTGCAGGGGCAGGGGTAGCTGGAGAAAGGTGAGAAAAAGCCAAAGGATACTCTAGGTGTGTTTTCTAGTAAGAGGACACCAAGGATGACACTTTGCCTGCTTTAACATTTTGCCCAATGTTGCCCAGATGAAAGCAGGTCATAATTTATAAGGCATGATGGCTAAAAGTTGAGAACTTAAGGCTAGAATGACAAGTGCTCTCTGAGGGTGGTGGTGAGGTGGACCCTCAACCCCATTATTCTATGAGTCTGTGTTTGGAGGGGGAGCGAATGATACACCTCTGGGCCTAGGTAAGTTCTCTCCATGAATGCCCTCAGGTGAGCAGTGAGGCTTCACAGTAGAACGGGAGATGGGACACCAAAGAGTGAATATGCTGAGGCCTGTTCACTTGAGTTTGCAAGAGTATCAGGTTGGTATTTAGTTCACGTCTGCCAGCACAAACAGTATAGGCACATGTTTTGAAGACTCTGTACACAGAAATCAAAGAAGAGGACTGCAGCTGACATGGGTGGGGAGAAGTTGGTAATAAACTGCTTGATGAGAACAACAACAAAATGGCCAAGAAGGGGCAACTGAATGATAATTTAAAGACAAAAGGGGAAACTTATTTAAGAAGTCCACACTTTACGTACTTAATCCAGTTCTTTTTCCCTTTGTTGCCATTTTAGAATTGTAGCTCTACCATTTTGTAGAGGTTACAGAGGGAATCTTGCGAAAGCGTTTCCTTGGCAGAGAAACCATTACCCAAATATTACACCTTTAAAAATGTTTGTACAACTTCCAAGAACAATTTTTAATCTTTGGTGGCATCACACCCTTGGGACTTTTGTTTTTAAGCCCAAACATAGCTAGTACTTAACCAGGATTCTATTCATTCCCAGTGAGCTGAATTTAGTCAGCAGTAACCCCAGCCCTGGAGAGACAAAGCAACCCAGTAATACTGTATGGATGAAAAGCTGGCACATAAATCAGGTCTAGTCAATCAAAGGATGAAGAGCACAAGACTCAGGCCTGAGAGTGTAGTAGCTTGCCTTGGATGGCAGCATTAAAAAAAAAAAAAAAAAAAAAAAAAAAAGGGAAAGTAGGCATGGTGGGTTAGCCAGAGTAGGGTCAGCATGCAGACCTGTGGTCCCTGATTCTAAGAATCTTCTGGAGGAAGGAGGGGACATTCATTCTCTGCTTGACCTTTTATACACCTAGCTGGGCAGGGGAGCCTTGGCCTTGGAGGTATAGCCCCTGCATCCAGAATGAGGTGAATTCTGCCTCTGGTCAACCAGGATTTTTATAAAGCCTAAATTGACCTAATTTGGAAAGCAAGCTTTGTGCCCTTTAAGTTTTATGCTCAGTGTCTGCTATTGTTGGGCAAGAACTTCCATAAAATAGTGCAAATCATCTCAGTATCATCAGAGAGGGGGAGGCAAATAACAAGGGGCAACATGGACAAGTCAATAACTTGGGCTCAGGACTGGCAATATGGCCAGTGTGATAACTTGTGTTTGGGGATTTTCCCACATCATTTCTTTCAGCCTCCAAACTCTTTCTAACCTCTGCCTCCTATGAGTTGCCTTAAAAGTCTAGCTTTTCTATGCCTGTTCCCAGCTCAAGCAAAATGCCCCTGTAACCCTTACTCTGGTAGGTCCCTTGAGATCTGATTTCTCTCTAAGAGCTTCTCCACTCCCTGGTTTGATTGCATTATCTCACCTGGGAAGGTAGTTTCCTTTTTTAGCTTTCTGTTCATTTCTCTTCACCTCTTTCTCCTTCCTGCTGTTTCTCTGATCGCACTTTGCTGGCCTTCTATCATATTGGTGTCAATTTGTCACCTACTATTGTTTTCTGTTTTGGGGGGTGATGATTTTCTTAAGGGTAATGTTCTTGTTGTTACACTTCTAAACAAAAAATATTTTCATCAAAAGGATCCTCAATCATTTGATACAGTAAAAAGGCACCAAAGATGGATGCAATTTGGGGAAAATGTTCTTCCTTGTAGGAGGGAAAAGCAGTAGGAGCTGGTTCCCAGTGTAGGGATAGACAAGGAGCTGATGGTGGTACTGCTTAGACTCTGCAGGAAGCACAGGAGGTCTAGAGCTCCAAAACATGGCAGCTATGGTGGAGCAGGTGCTTTAGGGTTTTATTTTTAAAAGTCTCTGCCCTATTGGCAGAGTGAAACTGACCCCTTAATGTTGTCACACGTGAATCAAACCTCTTTCTAGTGCACTTGATCATTTTCTCCAGAGATGATTTCCTATGAAAAGAGCTGAAAAGTGCCTAAGTGATTTCTAGCTCTCAAAGAAATCTAAGTGATTTCTTAGCTCTCAAAGACAAGCTAATAGGCTGTAGACTTTCTTGTTAGTTGTGGTTTGGTGTACAAGCATAGAACACTCAGTAACTTATGTAGAAAAATGTTGGAAGACTCCAAAGAAGCCTAGACAAAGAGGGAATCAGGTGAATCGAGATCATGGAGTTGCTTTTTAAGGACTCTTTAGGGGTTACTTTCCTCTCAAAATGCTCTATGAATTTCTATGAAGAAATGGGTACGAAGAGTTTTACTCAAACTGGGCTCAAGACTCCTGGTGGCTCAGGATTCTCAGGCTGACAAACTGGAAGAGTGTCTGCGGTGACATGGTCTGTCTTGCATCATTGGAAGCTCTTCCACCCTCCCTGCTGCTCAGTTTGGCTCTGCATTCTACTGCCTTCACACAGAAGCAGCTGCATAAATGAAGGCCCTCCCATCTCCATTTCTGTCCAGTGAAATTCTACCTCTCCTTTGGCCCAGCTTAAATGTCACCTCCTCTGTAGAACCTTCCATGAGTGTCCTGTTGGAAGTCAACATTTCCTTCTCTGGGCTCAACAACCATTTGGTTGGGCACTCCCCTAGACTCTTAAAACCTGGACAGCATATTAGTGGAGGTCTTTTCTTCCCTCACTAGGCCGTAAACTACAAATGAAGATATTGAGCCCCAATGTGATGCTAAGGCCAGAAAGGTGGCTTTATTTTTTCAGCCATTATATTCCTAAAAAGGGACTTCTCATTGCTCTCTCTCTGTGGAAAAGTGCCTAAAAGGGCTCCTCATGGCCTTGTCTTTGCAAGGGCATAGTC